AACTTGCACATTTGCGTAGCCGGGATGTGTGAACTCAAGGAGACTCTTCAAGTAAACTCGAGGAATCTGGTTAGACCACCCTGGTGTTGTGGCCCAATCAAGGTGCCCGCCAAAGTACCAACTCAGACCCAGCTCGGGCACTGAGACTCCAGCCCCTTCTGCTGCACGCTGGACAGAGACACCCCCTCCATCGGAATAATGGCCGGCGGAGGTTACCAAGTTATCCGATTCGGTCCAGGCGGCCGATTTTATATCATACATCCAGGTTGAAACTGGCAATGGAGTAGAAACCGGAAAATCGAACTCGCCTCCGTATAAATATAGGTGATCGAAGTCGTTCCAGAGATATCCTAATGATACAGCTGGCGGACCGGTTGGCTGAGGCAAACCGCTTATAGAAGGGGAGCTAGTATCCCACGATTTAGTCAAATCCACCGTGATGAAGTCATTATCTATCCCCTATTAGCTGTAGAGCCCCGTGTTGAATCCGTCGGATACGTACTCCATGTGTTGTCCGTCTGATTGGCATACGTCTTCGCTCGACCGCCATAATAATAAAGCGTACCATTCAGCACAGCGCCTGTTATTATCAGCATCTATTTCACTCTTACATCCCATGTCTAGTGGTGCTTACTTTGCCCAGCCCATCGCTTGCATACATTCGTTGGGCTACTCGCACGATCTTCCAGCACAGGCCCGAACCGAGGTTTCCGAATCACACCTGCATCTGCGCCATTCACTTCAACAATGTGGCGGCCATTATTATAGCTTAGCGCTGGAAGGAGTACCCCGATTATCAAGGCGATAAAGGTGAATCTATGCATTCCGGCTATTGAAGAAGGGGGACCGGTCGCAGCCGATTTGATCTTCGGTCGGTTTTCCGTAATTAGCCTCGAAAGCCAACGGGATTTCCCCTGCGTAGGTTCCCGCCCAACCGAGCCTTCGCGCTCTTCCGCCGGAGGTGTTGGTATTGGAGGTTTCCTCGTAGTCTCGTCGATCTCTTTCTCTTCGAAACTCTGCCTACCGACTGAATGCTCCTCCTCCTTCCAATCATCATCTAGCCCGATTTCCCGAAACACCGATTTCCTCCCCTTCCTGATGTTACTGCTCATGGGAAATGACACAAGTTTCGAGCCTTCTTCTAATCTGTGAGACGTGAGTTGGGAGTTGAAACGCGGTCGTTCGGGGCTTGGACGCTGTTCGCCTAGTTCTGAAGAACTATGTCGAGTTTGATGGGACGTCATATCGAGAGGGTGTCGCGAGTATTTAACCGTAGTTGCCGATTATTCATTCCAGTTTTTGTGGTATGCGCCATGGCGCATGATGTAAAGGTGGGAATGGGAGGCATGAGGTCAGTCTTTTTAAGACCTCCAACGCTCTGTAAGGGGTGCAGGTTCTCGACAATCGCCACCCTGCTGTAGGATCATGGCACCAACTATTACCAGTCGAACCTATAATCGAATGCCTGCCGGGGTCTCTATTCAACATCGCTTACAATTGGCCTGTAGATGTCGACAATAGTTTTAGCAGCTTCATGACAGGGGATAAACTCGACCCTGGCTCAACTACATCATACTAATACTTAGACGAATTCATTCTCATCCAGTATGAAGTTGGCACCGCCAGTCCGCGTTAGGCATTGGACTCTACCCCAGATTGGCAAGGGATTCTTTGGGATGCTGATGGCTGTTCATTGCCGTTTTAGGACTACATGCCCGAAACGCCATGATTTGATTGGTTCCCATCAATCCAGGGCCGTCACACAATGACGACAACAAAACCTGATCTAATTTTGTCTTACAGACAGGGAGGGCGGAGCTTATACCCCGATCGATCATGGTCTGCATTGACTGACACTAGTACACTTATCGTACGGCAATTGCAAAGAGCATTCCTTCTTTGAATATAAACACTACCCCGCGTAGCACATACGTAGGTGGTCGAAGACTGTAAAATTCCTTAGTAGAGATAGCGTTATGCGTAGGATCTATGGCTTTAACACCTCGCCATCTCACCATGTTCCAACCCCGCTTAATCTTGTTTTTGAGGAGCCAAATGAATTCAATAAGTATTCACCTAGCATAGAGTCTCTTGCAATGACATTTTCAAGCGAATTCTTTATAGGGATCCATATATAGGTCTAGATAGTGAGTCGAAACTCCAAATATCGAATATTGAAATCTAGTCTAGGTCGTAATGCGTCCCGTTGTAGATATTTAGCGCCACGTTTTGAGAGTCGCCGAGTTCTACTTGTGTCTCAGTTCTTATCCACCCTTTCATCCCTCTCTTTCCAACCCCACGTCTGAGACCCTAGCAAACCTGATACTTGGCCTTCGATGCCGTCACAAACTCAGCGACGTTCGCTCTACATGCCCGACTGTAGTTATCGAAAGTTTCCTCCGCGTACCAAGCCACATGCGGCGTCGTCACTAAATTCAGGCCCGCTGTATCCTTAGCGAGCAAAACGCTGTTGTCCGGGTGCGCTGGCTCCTGGGCATAAACGTCCGTACCGGCGCCTGCAATCTTGCCCTCCCTCAGCGCAGAGACAAGGGCGTTCTCGTCCACAATTCCGCCTCGCGACACGTTGATCAGCAGCCCATAGGGCTTCATCTGATTGAATTCGTAGTCGGAGATGAGATTGAGGGTCTCGGGTGAGCGTGGGAGGCAGACTATCAGCACCGAACAGTCCCGGATCGCCGTCTCGAACGGAACACGGCCTTCTGACGCCGGGGCACCTTTGCGTCCCGCAATGACGGTCTGCATGCCTAGCAGTTTGACCGTCGACTCGATGCGTCTTCCAATTGCGCCGTAACCGATAATGCCAACAAGCTCCTCACCGCAAGTCCTCGGCGGTTTGCCGTCGGGTCCGTCCATGGTGCTCTGTTGTGATCCTTTGGTAGCCCAATCGCCGGCACGTGTGAGGGCATGCGTCAGCATGAGAGAGCGGCGTGTCGCGAAGTAAAGCGCGAGCACGTGTTCAGTCACTGTCGTGACGTTGCAATGCGGTGTGTTGCCCACCACGCTACGCACTCGGGGTTAGTTATCGCCATCCTGAGTATGATTTGCGAGTATATGGGAAGTTTCTAGGCACAGCTTTCACCAAAAGGGAAAGTCTCTTCTCTAGAAATAGTCCCGAAACATACTCACATTCCCCGTGCCCGGCATGCCGCCAAGTCCACGGCGTCTATACCGGAAGCAATGACTGATACCACTAGCCGAGACATACAGTTAGTATACGCTACTATTCATATTTCGGATAAATTATGGGCATGCGGGAGTAGTCCGGCTATAGTGGAAATAGCGGAAGTTAAACCACGTACTCTTTAAGCGCGGGGTTGCCTCTACACTCAGCACCTCTGCTGTCAACGGTATGATTGTCATGATGACGATATCGGCATCCCGGATCCGCTCCGCTACTTGGTCCGGCCTCGTCCGCTCATAGTTTCGGAATTCGCAGGTATGGGGTGCCGGGAGAGTGAAGGTGGGTAGCGGACAGAAGAAGGTTTCTAGAGCGACAATAACCCAATGGGTCTGTAATTGGGCCATTGTGAGGCTCTTTACCACCTACTAGGGTAGGCTAGTTGTTACACTGGCGATGCAGGGTCTAGACAAATGGCTTTTTGGCGTTTGAAGATGCTTTGAAGAGTTTGGCGAGGTTTTTTGAAATACACTTGTTTTCCGGGACCGGGGGTTGCGCCTGTCATTGAAGGGCGCAATGTCAGCGCAGTTCGTTGCTTCATCGGAAACGAAGCTAAAATTCTCCACCGGACTATGCACCTCGACTACTTACTCGCCATGCATATATTTTATATTCAACAAGCCTGTTACTAGTTCAATCGCTACCCTGCTTTCTCCCAGAAGCTCTTTTCTTTTCACGTAGTGTTTGCTATATGGTATACCTAAAGCGGTTTGTTTGGATGTGCTATAATTGTAAGATCTTGTTGATGATCCTCAACTAAACTACCCGCTCAACAGATCCACTTGAATTGAGAGCAACTTGAGTCAACAAAACCTAAGTCAGAGCATACAGGCACATAAATGGCTTAACTTTGTTTCGATTCGTGAGGTTACCTGGGAAGCCTATAGAAGATACGAATAGCCAGCTTTATATCTAGATAGCACACAACAGCAATTCATTTACAGCCCCCGATAAAACCGCAGCAATAAATCAAAAGCTCTCACAACAACAATTCAAGGAAAGGTAAAGAGCTTGCTTTCTACTTCAACCTAATCCCCCTCCGTATGTTGCAAGAAAGGCAGTCAATGGAGACTCGCAGAGGAATTGAGAGGAACCATAAAAGAAAAGAGCAAAAAACGGGTCTGGCCGGGGATTGAACCCGGGACCTCTCGCAAGCAGTGCTTTAGGGTGTACCCTAAGCGAGAATCATACCACTAGACCACCAGACCAATCAAATCATTGCACGAGTGAGCGAGCACGATTCGGAACGACAACGACAGGACTCGAACCTGTGACCCCGAAGGGATATGATTTCTAGTCATACGCTTTAACCACTCAGCCACGTTGCCAACTGTTGAGGAAAGGTGACAGGAAGTAGGCTAATAAATGGGCCAGGTTGGGTGGCTCTTGCATGGCGGTAAGGTAAACGTGCTAGGAATTGAGAAAAGACTTAGGTGTAAAGGCAAGGTTCCTCCCGGCTTGTGTGTGCATTGCGATGCTAGGGGCAAAGCTAAGCTAACAAACTGTGCGTGGTGGGGCATTTCTACACTCAGTCCACCATGATAAGGAGTATCAAAAAACACCAAGAAAAAATTACTTATTCAAATGAAATATTATCACAATAATAACCCCAAAAAATTAATACTGCTAATAATTCCATATAAAACTAAAAAAAAAAAAAACGCGAGTTGGAAATAAAAATGGAGTCAACAAGAAAAATAAAGGGTTGCTACTCCCAGTGAACTTGGGAGGCATCAGGAATTGAGCCCAATGCGGGGGTCGAACCTTAATCATGCTGTTAGTAAATCTTGATTTTCGTGTGTACTAGGTAGCGCCATTTACTCACCCGCAACCTTGAGATTAAGAGTCTCACGCTCTACCGATTGAGCTAACCGGGCAGATGATGTTGGATTTATTAGACATAGTATTACCTAATCAGGCTGGGAGGTGAAGAGGATGGCCTCCTTGTGAACCTTGCATGTTGGGTTTCTATGTTTCCCGATTCGGGCACTTGCTTTAGTGAATAAAATTAACTAGAACGCATTAATCATTGTTTGTCCTTGTTGTGAAAAATTAAGTCTTTATAAACTACAAAACCGTTTTATACCGAAAGAGAATAATGTTATATTCCACTATGATAAAGTTTAAATACGGCATATTCGAGCTTTTGAAACTACCGACTGAATTATACAGTTGCTGTTTCATTTTTTTAAGGCTGTAATGTCTTAGAGTTTTGCCGGGAACATAACACTACCATTTCTTTTCATGTTTTTAATGCTCGGGACTTGCAATGAGGGATACAACATCACCCTATGGGGCTAACCGTCTTAATGATTAAGCCAATGTAGAATCATGCGGCTTATTTATACCCTGGCTTGACCATCTCTCCTATGCTAGTGATAAGTTCCGAACATCCCGAATTCGGAGGTTATACGTTACCACAACCAATAAAAGCCCTATACTAGAGAACTTCCTAGTTGTATGGCGGCACTTGGATGAAGCTGGGTTACGACCCCGTCATGAATGTTTTAGGAAGCCCCATAATGAGAAGCCATTCCTATGAATGGATAGACTAGATCATATAGGTATAAATAGGCCAAGGACTTCCGACACATAAGGCCCTAGAGAACCTTTTTCTCAACCGAACTATTGTTCTAACCTTTATTATATAAGGCCTTCTCACAGCGACATCATCGGATAGCCCTGTGTAATTGCTGGGTGAGATTTATATAGCCGTATGCAGACAGCAGGGCCGCCCTAAGCATCTATCGGCCATGATATATCTCGGTAAAGATGACAAAGGGGTTGCTGCCCAAGTAAGTCAATCAATCAAGGTGTTGAGCCCACGAATGGACGTGGTTTTGGTTAGGGCAACGATGGACCGGGAGAACAAAAAGATATCGTGGATCCGAGACAAGAACTAGAGAAGTCGAAAACAACTTGGCCGATGCTCTGAGAGCCACAGTTACCCTTGGGCCGCAGCTACGACAATGGCTTACGTAATAGGGCTTAGAACAGAGGTAGCAGAGCTCTTATTCATTATAATTCGTAGTACAATGTATCTCTTCCTGGGTGAGGAGGGGCTCCTATTCGAGTCCGGGACTTGTTGGTCGCGTGCACTATTGTTGGGCTTCCTTGCAGTGCCCTATGACCCTGTCTTAGCCAATCACTCCCAAAGTGAGGCTTCGTACTTCTGCTGGTTCCTAACTACATACTCTAGCGGCTAATCTGACAGTCTTGCAGTGTGACAGCAGCTGTCCCTGACAACGCATACCAACAGAACAGTCACATCACCAGGGACCCGCAAGACCCAGATTTCAGTCAAACAACCCTTCAGGGTGTCGGTCAAGCCGGTCGTTCGTCTGTGATAAATTCTTTTATGAGTCTGTAGTAGCTCGGCAAGGCCAAGACTGAGCAAAAGAGGAGATATCGGATATCAGACCTGTTGGAGCTTTTCAAAATTAAATCCTCGAAAGAAGATGAAAGAGGACATATTCAACACTATGAGAAAGCTTCAGAGCTGTCAGGTGATAAAATACCCAGGCACCTAGGGTGGCTATATTCCTAGATCAATTGACTACTCTATTGTGCCCTATAATACGCTTCTTCCTAGCTGCGGTCTACCTATTCACTCCGTGGAGTAAAGCCCCTGACAGAAGCTTCAGTAGACGACGGTAAAGGAGTCTCTAGGGATGTGCTAATACGAGCTTGGATTTCGATTGCGCGGGGTATTGGCAAGTACTCGATTACCTGATGTAGTCTTGGCTATAGGCCAGACCCAGGAGCAGGGAATTGTAATTAATACCTGGTTGCATTCTTGCCCAGCATTTATTATCATTGCGTGGGTAATTATTGACCTCCCTTTCCCTTACAATCTATGTACATCAAATATTTAATTTTGTAAGCCACCGCCATCAAGCCATTGAAAGATGATGAAATCTTCGCCATTCCTTGTATATGCAGCGATTGGTTTAGCCCTTAGAGGCGAGATTATAGGATGGGCAGCTTTAAATTTTCCAGTATTGATATCAAAAAATGGATCAAGGTTATCTGATGGCCGAACACACTTGATGGAAACCGGGATGCCCTGCGATTCGACATTATCCTTAAAGCAAATGATTAGCAAGAGAATATTAAAGATGTTGAGGATGGTACCTACCGCTCCTAATATCGTATGGGCTCGGTGAATCTCTCCACTCCAGATTTCCCCGAAGGTGCCTTTGCTTTTTTTCAGATTAAAGAGAGGTAGGGGCTGTTTGCTGTGTAGCTGATGTCGAAACTTGGTACTGGCGCCGAGTACAGGGGCTGAGAAGATCCATTGATAGTTTCCGAAAAGAATCAACTCATTATCTTCCCAGTCCTGGAAGGAGTAGAATTTTTGGGCCTTATCTTTTTCCCTTTCCTTTGAAACCCCGTAGTAAGGCAGGATACTTGTATAGAATCGAAGTGGCAATGCATTGTCATCAACGCCGTCGTCTTTCAAATATTCTAGCCAAGAAAGCCTCTCCGAGGTTCCAGTCATAAAAACGAGTGTTAAGAACAATCGCTTGCTTCTCTGGAGGACCCATATAGCGAGTTCCCCATGTTTTTCCTTCTCGATTCTGGTGTCTTGAAGAGCTAACAGTACCGTCTCTTTCGTGACTAGCTGTCCTACTTTATTATTCGGCAGAAAAGCTTCGTTGTTTGAGGTTCCTCCTCTCAGGCAGTTAGCCTTTATATTTTGCCTGAGCTCTAAGAGTATTGAGTGTCTCTTTAGGCGCCTTTGGGGGGATGTAGGTCTCTCTTTGTTGTCGTTTTCGTACTGACAGACTTCTACGGGATAACCGGGGTTTTTCCTACGGAGAAAAGGTGCCGTAATCTTCTGTCGTATCCTAGTAAGTGTCAAAGAGTTCGGCGCGTCCATCGCCATCATCTACTCAAGCGTAGTTAAGCGCGTAAAGGACAGGTCGGAAGTGATGAGTTCAGAATTTTTAAATTATGATCGATACGGTGTTAATAATGCGATATGAAAACTGGCGGCATAGTCTAGAATAAAGATGGGGGACTCGATAGTCCTGATAAGCAAAAGTGGCCGCCGACGTCGGCTAGAACTGTACGCCTTGGGAAGGGGTCACAGGGGTAAAATAAGTCTTAGTTGCAGTGGCAGTGCTGGCTTTCAGCCTATCGGGCTTTGTATTGGGGTTGAACCATTCTACCGGAGCCACGCTTCTAGTACTTTTATGCCTCAAACATGTTGGTGCCTGTCAGTGGCAGTGTTGGTGGTGATCACACGAGGTTTCAAGAGTGAGCTGCATGGTCTCGGCCCGGCTAATTAATAGGTACCTAGACCTGATGTAACCTCCCTACAGTAGGTACTGTGTACTTACAGGTAGATGCCGATAGCTTTACCCTTTTGCAATAGCAATAAGTCAGCATTGTCATCTTTGAATGGATTAAATCAAGAATTTTGCCCATTTCCATTTCAAAACGTAAACCGTTTTCTCTTTATGGCCATCCATTCGATAAGTAAAATACTAAGGTAATTAATTAAACGCCTTGCTGTTAGTCTTAGAATCAAGACGTCAAAGCTATGCCACGACTTACCCTATTTAGCCACTCAACTACTCCGTAAGCCTACATAATCAACTGACCTAGCCACCCGACCAACGCTACGTAAATTTCGGCATGGCTTGGCGGACTTGTCATCACCTTTTGGTATTTCGGAGTGCCCTGATTTTCCACTTCTCTTTTATAGTACACTTAGGTACACCCTACTTAGTAGGTAGGTAATAGTTGCATTGGGGGGAGCCTATTACTTAGCTAGTTTTTGCAGCTAGCTTAGAACTGCCCACAACCAGAGACCTAAGTACTAGTGACAAAACAGCACAAATTAATGTAAAAAAACAACGCAATGTGGTAACTAGGGTGGGTAGTATTCGAGGCCGATAATGCCTGAGGAATGGTTGTTCGGTGGGTCCCGGGTTTGCGGCAAGGAAGAAGGTTGAATGCATTGAGGCCACCTAGAGCTGCCACCTTTCATGGCTAGGGCTAGCCCCTTGCCGCACTAAGTCTCTTGCCTCCACTCCCCACCGAATTTGGCTAAGGGGTGAAGCAGGGTTCGGAATGAAGGTACATGATCACCGCCCTACTACAACGCTATTACAATCAACTTTAGTTGCAACCAAATATAATTAGTACTAATCAATAGCGCTTCAAATTATATATTAATAAGTATTAGTTATATCTACCTTTTAAAATCGATATTGACTAAAATATGTAGGTCATAAACTCTATTACTAGGCAGCAGTAGTGTGGCGGTAAATACCTAGTGTAGCGGTGGTGTAGAAACTGTGTGGCTGCTGTATACTTACCTAGGTAGGTAGCGCCATGTACCTACCCCCTAGCATAGCGCGGTAGGGGGTTGGCCCTAGCCATGAGAGGTGGCAGCTCTAGGTGGCCTCACGGAAACTACCCCGTCGTGGGAGGTGGAAAATGACATGTAAAAAGTGTAGTAACTGGGCTGGTTGCATATGTAGCATATGCCAATAAAACTGTTCCCTGAGCTGAATCTTATTGTTCTATTGAGTGTAATTAGTCATGCAAGAAGCCCCGCTATTCCACTTTTAAGTCCTTGAGCGCCTAAAGTAGAGTTGGAGCCTAGCCCGTAAAGCTACCTCCACAACTGTCTTCAATCCGCTTGAACATACGATCTATGCAGCGTGTTTCTTAAACATGAAGTTTTTCATCCACTTTTTTTTATATATGGCAGACGAAGCACGCCTTTCCCCTTTCCGAGAGAACATCTTTTTAGCAATCATTTGAAAGAAACTAAGACCCGGTTCCGCCCAATTCGGTTCTTGAGGAGGCGGGGCTTCCGCCTCAAATTTGCCTTTCGGCTGTTGGTGTGAGGGGACTGACG